GAAGTATCTTATTTTTCCATCAATTTTGAAAGATAGCTTTGCAGGGTACATTAACCTGAAGTTGTTTTCTTTCAGGATTTGAAACATTTCACTCCAAACTCTTCTTGACTTGATTATTTATTTTGACAAGTCTGCCATGATTCTGATTGGTTTTTCTCTATAGGTGATCTGTCTCTTTTCTCTAATAGCTTTTAATATTCTGCTCTTGTGCTGAATTTCTGATTATTATATGTGTGGGTGAAGATTTACTTTGATTATGGCTAGTTGGAGTTCTATGTGCTTCACTTATCTGATTGCCAGATCCTTTTCCCATTTTGGTAAGTTTCCTGCTACTGCTTCTTTTTTATTTCATTTGTGTTGACCCCTGCTTCTTTACTGATACATATCACTCTTAAATTATGTTTCTTTGTGTTGTCTTGCAGTGTTGACTTGTTATTTCCTGGTCTCTGGTTATTTTTAGGAGATCTTTCCTTTCATGATTGCTAGCTGTAATCCTGCCTTCAAAGTCTGAATGTCTATCTTCAGTCTCTTTCCAGCAGTTTTGTCAGCTTTTGATTGACTTTTAAAATTTCTTGGATATCTCTTTGAATCTGTTTCATGCATTGCGATTGTTTTCTATATTGTTCATTCAAGGTTTTCATCATTTTTCTATGCTTCTCTTTTTAATCTATGTCTTCTTTAGATATGCTGAGCAATCCTTTCATTATGTTTGTCATTTCTTCTTTTACATGAGACATTATATCTGATTTGATTATTTTACAATCTCATGAGGTTGTTTCCTTACTTCAGTTGCTGTCCTCTTGGAGATTTCATGTGGTGACTTCCATTTTCTCACATGACTCTCCCATACTTGTTCTGTGTGGGCTGGAGATATGAGATTGCCTTTTGCTCCTTCATCTTGACATTATCCTGGGTTCCTTTCTACAAGCTGGTCGTGAGGCTCCAGGCAATTTCTACATTGGCTGTGCCTCTGCAGTGTAGGGGGATGGGACAGGCATCTATCGGCGTTTCTCTGACCCCAGGTTTACAAGAAGCTAGGAGGGCATGGGGTGGGCTTCTCCAGATCTTTGCAGCTACATTGGGGCTTCCCCAATGGCTAGGGATGTGTAGAGGTGGGGCTGCTTCTCTCCACCTGTGTGTCTATACTGGGATTCCTGTGATGGTGGCAGGCACAGAGGAATGTATTTGCCTGATTCTGCTGGTGGGTGATAGCTGCCTGAAGGACGCAAGGATCTCCAATGGTGGCCTACAGGTGCATGGGGCATAGCTGGCCTTGTGTTCCTGCTCCTGCTGGTTGCCTGTAGAAAGCAAGCCTTTTGGTTGTAGCAGCCAGCAGGCCAAGGTGGATCTGATGGTTCTCTCTGCATATGCTGGCTGCACAGAGGAAACAGCTTCCCAATGTTAGCAGCCAGCAGACAGAGGTGGATATGCTGGTTCTTTCTGCCCACACTGGCTGCCCACAGGAAACTGTTGATGTTTTTTGTCCAGTTGATTTGTACATTTGTGACAGTGGGGTATTGTAGTTCCCCATTACAGTTGTACTGATGTTTATCTAGTTTCTTGGTGTTCACTTGTGTTTGTTTTATGAAGTTGGGCGCACCAGCTATTTGGTGTGTATATGTTTATAATTTTTCTTCCTATAAAATTGTTCCCTTAACTAGTATATAGTAGTCTTGTCTCTTGTGATCAGCCTTAGCTTGAAATTCACTTTATCTGCAATTAAAATAGCAACTTCTGCTTTTCTTCTAAATCTTCATTATGTGAAATATTGTTTTGCATCCTTTAATTTTTTAATTTGTATTTTTTGAATTAAATGTGTTTCTTTTTCTATTCTTGTTTGCTTGCTCTTAACAATTTCATTAAGTTGTGTGATTATTATGTTTATATATAAAGCAGCCAGGGTTCAGAATGAGTGGTAACCCAAAGATATGTAGCTAGTTGAAGGTAGAATCAATATTCTGTTAACAAACACTTAAAGTTTTTCTCTGCTTTTTTCATGAAGATATCTTTGTAAAATGGGTAGATATGCTGAAAGCTTACCAGGTAGTTGCTCTAGTTCACAAAACTTGATACTATTGAAGTAATGCTATCTTTACCAACCATTGGTAAGTTAATGGTCAAATATGGGAAGAATGGTTCACTAGTACCTCAAATTTAGTGTGATATTTTATTTAGTTTAAATTAGTAATATTAGTTTTAATAAACTAACAATATTTGTTTTAATTGGTTTCTTTAGAGGAATATAAATTTTTCTTAAAGTGAATAGAATGAAGCAGAAAGCAGAAAAGAGTTTGGAAAAACTAGGCAGGCACAGATCACAGGAATGATGTACAGAAGTGGAGGAGCCCAGTTTTTATTACAGAAGCAAGCTCAGGTGCAGCCTTACATTTGTTTATGTTATTTTGGAGTTTGAGTGGTTTTTACGTTTTTCAAAAAATTTTCTTTCGTTTACATTTTAGTTTTTATTAGTATATTTGTAGTACCAATGATTGCATTTCTTGTTGGGAGATTTTACGGTACATAACACTCCTGAATTCTTTTGTGCTCTCTCTCCCTCCCTTCATCTCCTCATTAAAAAAAATGTATTTCCCTACTTCCTCTTGTCTTTTATTTGGTTCTTTATTTATATTTTGGGCTTCTCATGTAAGAGAAATATTGTGGTATCTAAGTTTGTGTGTTTACTCTATTTGACCCAGTTAATCCCCTTCTTGGTATCTTCTTAAGAGTTAGAGACATTGTTCTATAGTGATACATGAATATCCATATTCATAGCAGCACAGTTCACACTACCTAAATCTTGGAAACAACTTATCTGTCCATCAACAGATGAATGGATTAAGTATGGTATTTACATACAGTGGAGCGCTACTCCACCATAAAGAAAGGTTACATGGTTTGACTCATACCTTCATGTCAAAGCTAGACAAGTTCTGAGAGCTCTTTAGCATAAAATTATCACTTCGTATCCTTCAAGACCAGTTCTGTTTTATTGATGAATGATATTTGTATGTGTAACACTCAGAGTAGTTACATTTTGTGGATGAACTACATACCTAATCAAGATCTTATTTCTTTTCACAACAATATGGCACATTGGCTTAAGTGACACACAAAAGAGCTGTCAGCTTCACCACTGATTTCTAGAGTCCATTTGAAATGATAGCTTTTAAATGTCCAGGCAATTATCAATGATTTGGCTGTTCCAGGCTTACCCAGTTGTTGTGGACCTTGTGTTGGCTTGCTTAATCTCTCCCTAATGTGTGCACTTCCTGATATTATGGTCTTTCTGTGTAGCACAGTATGATTCTTTATAATGATGTATTTTTACAGTTATGAGTTTTGAGTTTTGTCTTCATTTCATTATTAAAATGGGCCATCATGACACCATATATCCAAAGAAGAGAAAAATATGCCAGCAAATGAAAAAATATTTTTGCTTTGTACTTGTCTGTTCACTAGGGACTTGTCCTTACTTGCTTTTGACTGCTATGTACCTGTGTGTTGTCTCTTCAACTTGTCTTGAATATACTCTTGTTTATCCAGGTGAGATCAGGACAGGTAACAGGCAGATAACTGATATAATTCTTTATTTTGTTTAAGATACAATTCAGAGGGCTGGGGATTTAGTTCAGCGGCATAATTGCCTGCCATGTAAGCCCACAATTGTGAGTTCGATCCCCTGTACTAAAAATAAAAAAGGATACATTTCAGGAGACTCTTTCAGTGCTATTTCAATTTGAAAGCAATCATTGATCTGCATCTGTTACTAATTATTTGAGGAAAGGGACATATGCAAATACAAATGAATGAGTGCTATGTGCCTACTAAAAACTCACAATGCGTTTGGGGTAAAAAGAGATGAGTTTTTGAATATAACATATGACAGACTGACAGGTCTTGTAATACAGTGCTGTGATAATACAAGAGAAAAGGAGTATATTTGCTTGGTAAAATTAGTGAGAAAATGTGTGTGTGTGTGTGTGTGTGTGTGTGTGTGTGTGTGTGTGTTTGTATTTTTGAGACAGGGTTTCACTATACAGTTCAGACTGGCCTTGAACACACTTTATAACCCAGGTTAGACTCAAATTCACGGTGATCCACCTGTTTCTGCCTCCTGAGTGCTGGGATCACAGATGTGTGTCACCATGCCTGGCCTGAGAAAGTGTTTTATATGGATTTAAGGACGTATTAATTTTCACATGACCAGTATGGAGAGTTGAAGGAGTATATTCAAGATAGAAAGAAGTTGGAACAAAAGAGCATCAGGAAAACTTAGGACAAGCTCAAACAACTGCAGTAATTATTAGGGAATGTGGGAGAAGCATAGAAATATAGTAAGAGAAAAGTCTGTTGGGTCCAGATTGTATTGGACTTTGAATTTTGGACTAAACAATATGATTTTATTCTGCATTCATTGGAAAGTCCTATGGATTCTGTGTTTCAGCAGGGCGACTTTGTTGTGGTATCAATGAGGAGAAAAAGGACAAAAGACTGGGAATCAAGAGAGACTCCCAAGGTGGAAGAGACATAATTTGATGTCAGCACACTGAGAGGTGAGGAACAGAGAGATGATGAATAAGAATGATCCAGAAGTTTTAAGTTTAAGTGCTTAAGAATGCTCATGAGTAGACAAGCCAAGATACACAGACCTAATGTAGGATGAAGACCTAGGAGGATGAAAAAGGACCTGGGATGGGGTTACACTGTTTCTTTGCTTTCACATTTTGTGGGATAACAGACCTGGTAAGACTGGCATCTCACTGTGGTCAGCTTTTAATAAGCCCCTTTTCAGTGAGAAATGGTGGAAATAATGTATCAATTTATTTTTAAACATATAAATACAAAGATACAAAGAGACACAAAGACCATGGATCCATGGGACTAAGGAGTTTCTCCCCATTAGACTGAAATTCAGTTTACAATTTGTTAAGCATTATTACTCACAGCAGCAGCTGCCCCGGTGATGGCGGTGGTGGCACAGGTGGGTGCTGAGCCTGTAGTTATTTATTTCCACTCGCACTCCCTTGACCTGCCCTTATCCTCTTCAGAGCAGACTTCACGTCCTGGTTCCTCAGGGTGTAGATGAGGGGGTTCAGTAATGGTGTGACCACAGTGTAAAACACAGCCACCGCCCCATCCAGGGGACTCTTGGAGCCTGCTCGCAGGTAGATAAAAATGCAAGGGACATAGTAGACTGTGACCACGGTTAGGTGGGAGCCACAGGTGGAGAAGGCCCTGCGCCTCCCATCAGCGGTGCGTATCTTCAGGATGGCGTGGACTATGTTGGCATAGGAGAGCAGAATGAGCAGGAAGCAACTGGCGGCCACCACCCCGATGTCCACAAAGGTCACCAGCTCATTGACAGTTGTGTCAGCACAGGCCAGTCTCAATACTGCTGGTATATCACAGATAAAATAATCCACTTGATTGGGTCCACAGTAGGGCAGGCGAAAGGTCAGAGTGGCCTGGATAGATCCGTGGATGGAGCCAGCCACCCACGCTCCAGACACAAGGGTGGTGCACAACTTTGCATTCATGAACACAGGGTAGCGCAGAGGCTGGCAGATTGCCAGGTACCTGTCATAGGCCATCAAGGTGTAGAGGAAGCACTGGGTGCTGCCCAGGAAGTGAAAGAAATAGAGCTGGGCCACACAGCCGCCAAAGGGGATGGCCTTACTGGCAGGAGTGAAGTTTAAAATAAGTCGAGGAACGATGACTGAGGAGAGCCACATGTCCAGGAAGGAGAGGACGCCCAGAAGGATGTACATAGGGCGGGCGTGGAGCTTGGGGTCAGCCCACACGGTGAGCAGAATGAGCAGGTTCCCCAGCTGAGTCAGGATGTAAATGATGAAGAAGACCAGGAAGAGAAGAACTTGGAGACTGGGGGGATGAGGCAAGCCCAGGAGAATGAAATCAGTCACCACGGTGTCCAGCGACGTGTTTTTGTTCCTTCTCATTCCTTCCTGTCATCTGCTACAATGAACAGTGAAGTTAGTTGGAGGAAACAGCATAGTGAGGATGTAAGGACATTCGTTTGTTGGAGGATTAATGCCTATTATGTGAGAAATAAAATTATGTAATTCTTTAAATGAAGAGATCATACCACTATTGACATTTAGGTTTATATTACAGGGGAATTCCTTCAGAGGCTGGTTAATTTCCTGGATAGATAGAGACTTAAGTCCTTTGGGAGACCCAGGAAGTAGGATTTGGCAAATCAAAGGATAGCAGAACATGTGAATGATTGAAAAGGACCAATTCCAATCAAAGAGGATTTAAATGAAGAGAGATTAAGGCTGACAAAATGCAGTATGGAATAGACACCCTGCCGTCATGACACTTGATGATTCCATTTTGCCTTCAGCCAAAATCACATCTCCTCACATAGCATGTAAAAATATTCATCATCTAGTCTTTACTTACCATCTTATCATGCTTCTTGCAATTTCTTCTCAGTGTTTTTATAGGCATGGAGCTGCTCACGGCTCTCCTAGAAGCGTGATCCGACTTGGGACCCCGTAGGTAGTCCTGAATCCTAAAAGGATTCGGTGTCAAAGTCTTTGCCTTCAAGAAGCCTTTCCAGATTTTGAGAGAGTATGCTTATACTTCTCAGAGCACATGTTACATGATGCTGGCATAGTCTAAGTTTTTATCTCACCTGTTAGTCACCCATCTAGCACAGTAAGCATGATAACATAAATGTTTCCTGAATGATCAAATAACTGACTGAAAGGATGTTTGAAATCCTACAGATCTAACTCAGTATGCTTAATCCTGCTGCCCACCCAGCCAGGACTTACGGTAAGAACCCTCTCCCTCCCTAATTAGTACATACCTTGTTTTAATGTAACAAACTCCAGTACATGCTTTTATTGCATTTATTGCAGGGTAGATTTAGATTTATGTCTTCCATTTGTTTGAGATTGGATTCTTTGTAAATGTTTAGAGTTTTTATTATTATTATGAAACTACAAATGAGTTTCTCTTGAGTGTGTTTAAAATATAGGTATATATGTATATATAACATGGCTTGATCTTTAGTGTTTAAAATATATGTATATATAACATGGCTTGAGTTTTACTGTCTTTAAAATAGATCTATTTCTATATATTTATGTTTACTATCTAGCAACTCTCTATGGGCCTTAGCTTTTCAAGTCTTTAAGTCATCTGGCAAGAAAACTAAAGGGATAAAATCTGTTTATTTCATTCTTTTGATTAACTAGATTATGTGATAAATATCTCCCTACATTACGGTTTGAGATTCCTTCATATACTACTTAATCATAAGGTTGTTTTTTACTTTTTTGGAGACAAGTTCTCACTATGTAATTCAGGTTGGACTTAAAGTCCCTATGTATCCCATGGTGGCTTTGGATTTAAGATAGTCCTCTTGTCTCAGCCTCCCAAGTGCTGTGATTGTAGGATCATGTTGTAAATGGTTAGAATCTAAAATTTCAAGGTACATGAAAATATCAACAGGTTTAAATTCAGTATAAAAAGCCCTTCAAAATAACAGTCCGGTGACACCAGAAAACAAACAATATGTTTTTGAAAAGCAATTATCCTGGAAACTCTATGGAAAGTCTGTGGCACGGAGTGAATGAGTGACACTGAGAATGTAAGGACACGAAGGAACAAGGACACTGTTGAAAGAGCTCCATGGATCCTGAGATCACGGGCAGCTGCTTCCTGTGTGACCCTGCTTCCATCTAGGCTAAAGCGATGTGAGCAAATTTGCACTGCATTTCCAGTTAGAAAGGATCACACTAGGGCAGGTCTTTGCATAGCTTTTGAAACCTTGGGCTTCTACAGTGACCTTCTAGAGCTGTGATTCAAGGAAATTCAGAAGCTGGAGCAATAAAGACTGATTCAGTGTTACGCTGGATGGACTATGATCAAAGTTTCCTATTTCCCTGTGGGACAGAGTTATCTTTGCCAATCTGTCATTCACATATCAATATCCTGAGGGCAGCGTAGAAGACTGGGATGGAATTTGAGATGGCCTGTCCACATTTTATCTAGTCCACAGAATTGACTCTTGCCTTTCACCAAAGGATAAACAAGAATAAACTTTGTTTAGCAAAGGTGCTTAGCGCTGTCTTCACATGGAGAATGGACAGTTTTGTGAATCTGGCCCACCTTTGTGTTTATTAACAGTGGACCTTCATGAGTCCTATGACTTTATCATTGCTCAACTCTGCTCTTTATTGCTACCCTAATAAAAAAAGGAAAGGAAAATATTCAGATTTTAAGTCATTTTAAACACAAAAGTGATTCCCCAACTTTGGAAAGAAGGAATTTAATTCTGACAATCTGGGAAAGAGCTGAGGAAGAAAACAAAACAGGCTGATTATATTAACCTCTGGTTACCATTACAGAAACTCTGTAAATTCCAAAATTAGTTTGTTGCCTTATTTTTAATGGAGCATGTTTCAGTGCCACTTTTCCATCATCTTAGACTCACATGCACAGAGAAGCTAAAGTGTGGAGGAGGTGCTGTTCCTGAGCCAAATGGTCCAACAGGAAGAGACGTCCTTAAGCTTCAGCCTCACCTGTTGTACAGGACTCTGGTATCTGCTGTGGAAAAGCTTTGCCGTTTTTTAAGAGTCTGACCAGTGAGTAAGCATTCAGAGTTTCAGAGAGCACCTCTCCATCTTTCGGGGCTCTTGGATGGGTGTGAATTCTATTTATTTTGAGTCATATTTTACAGCAGTGTCCATCAGATATTGCCTCTGATTAAAAAGGAAAATAAACAACATTGCCAAGAGATTTGAAGAAAAACTAACCCCAAGAGAAATCTTATGCCAAAGTAACTCCCTGATGAGAATCTCCCTCCCCATATTCTCATTACTTTGTTTTGAGGGAGAGAAAGCAACATTTCTTTCAGATCTCTGAGGAATAATCTTATCAGTGTAGTTTTGAACTACCTCTGATTTCCTAGAGGTGTTAAGAGATCTCCGTCTCTCCCCAGGTACCCATTGAGATTCCTCTAACATCTCCTTCTGGTTTCTGTGTAGATGACATCTCATCAATGAAGTCTTTCTTGACCTTTCTCCCCTTCTGTTTTATTCTTTGTAGCAGCATTTGACATCAATGTACATTTATTTGCTTGTATTTACTTGTTTATTGTTTCCTTTTGCTGGATTATAGGCCCTATGAGTAGAGGGAATTTTGTTTACTGTGGAATCTCTAACACTACTAGAAAAGTGCTTGGTGCACAGTAAGTTCTTAATATATCTTTTTGAATGAGTTAATAAGGAAAATTCTTACACATATTTAATGCTAGGACTAGAAAGTAAAAAGAACTGTAATTGCAAATATGAACCTTTATTTAAAGTTGCCTGATGTACATTTGATATCATGTTGATTTTCATATATATCCTCAGGTCCAGACAGTATATGCCAGGGAAACTAGACTTGAAAATCTATTTATTTATTTTATAAAATACAATATTACCCAAGAGATACTGGGAATTTGGCTAGAAATAAAGCAAATGGAGCCTGGACTGTGATATAAGCTTTAGAATCTTCCATAGAACTGGACAAAAATTGGATTATTTCTCAGGTTTTCCTTTTAATTCTAAATTACTGAGGGGGAAAGTGATTAGTGTGTGTGTGTGTGTGTGTGTGTGTGTGTGTGTGTGTGTGTGTGTGTTTAAAGTTGCAGTGTTACATTAGGCCACGAGATGACAGAATCACTTTTATTAAACACTATTCTGGGATTTCGAGTAAATAGAAATGTCAAAAGACTTACTAGGGATATAAATTACTGTAGTAAATCATATCTAAAGCATTAATTTTAGAAAACTATGTGTCAGCATTAATTTCATTTTGTGAGATTTGATAAATAGTTTGAAATATAGATTTCTCTTTCTTCTCCTAACTTTTTTCTAGCCTAGAGTTCTTTTCTTGTCTTGTTTTAATTTCTTTTAAGTTATCATTTTATTACCCAAAGGTGTTTCAAATCAAACAAAATGTAGATGTATAAGAAAAGTTATTCTTTTCACCATTCTCTTTTAATTCCAGCCCTTTGAAGTAACTGATATTAATAGTTTATTTTCAGTTTCTTCCTTTGTATTAATATACACAAATATATTTATATGTAAATATAAATTTATATATGTATTTTGGCAGAGTTTGCAAAAAATGTATATGCATTTCAGGAAAACAAAAACTTATGGCTGAGGATACAGGTCAGTGGCACAAGTGCCTGTTTGGCAAGTGCAAGGTCCTGAGTTGTATTTCCAGTAGCGAAAAAGAAAAACTTATATAAATATTTTAATACTAAATTTATTGAGACATCATGAGATTAATAAAAATTACCTTGTCCCAAAGATTATAAGGGATGCTCAAAGTGGTGGTCATTAGCTTCAAAACATTTATTAGTATGGCAAATTGCTGTTTGGTCACTGAGATGGCTATACATGCAGTTTTAGTTTTTTCTCTAAGGGCTGGCAGTGTAGTGGGTTTTCTGTGATGTACAACACCTTTTTGGATTCTTCATGTGAGGATAATACTATCTCTTGAAAAATCATTAGGATATTTTTTCCCCTGAAGTATGTACACATTTTTTTGGTGGATTCTGTATATTTATGGACAGCCATATATTTGTTTGTTTAAAAAATTTTTTTTGGTACTGAGGATTGAACTCACTATCTCATGCTTGCCAGGCAGGTGCTTATGCCACTGAACTAAATCCCAGCCCTTATATTTATTTTGATCTTTTAATTAGTATCTAATCTTCTGTTTGGAGAGAAAGACAATTGGAAAATTCTCTACCTGTTTCTTACAGCCACAAACAATGACTATGACAACAAAAACAACATGGACATGCCAGCATGTATGCAGCTCATCAGGGACAATTGCACTTTTTTTTTTTATTTTAAAGGGAGTTAAACAGGACAGTAAAATGAAACAAAACAAAGCAAAACCGTAATAGGACAATAGACAGTCC